TTACTACCAAAATAAAAGTGCAAAATGAAACTTTACCATAGGAAAATAATATTTAATTCTTAACTGTGAATGGTTTTCATTTATTTAACATTAGAAATGTATTAGTCTGGCCAATCCAAGACTTTAATGCTGAAAGGCCAATGGATCTATGGTGGGGGGTCAGCACAAAGGTCAAGGAAACCCACATTTGAAAGGGAGACAACGGATGACAAAGAAACTAGTGACTTGCTCCATTCATTTGTGGATCTGTGAAGAACATGACAACAGCTGCACTACTGGTATTTTGTATACCAGCAATTGAGGGTGGACAAGTTTACTACCACTTAAGTTTCAAATAACTGTGTTAATTACTTATTGTAAAGCATTTGAACATTCTTTTGTGTCACATGTTCATTATTAAGTTGATGTATAACTGTATAGTATCTTCATTATTTAAAATATAAGGTGACTAAAAATGGCAACCGTATTTTCAGTTTTGGCAACCAAAAGCTGATGCCTGGTTGCCAGCCTGGCAACCACTTTTAAAAGGTAGCGTTGAGCCCTGCAGAGGAGAGAATATCCTTTTACTGGATTTGTCAGCATGTGACAGAAAGATAGAGAATCCACCAAATACTCACTCCTGTGCTACCTGGAATACTGTTAGGTGTCAAAACAAAAATACTTTAAGGGATGTAAACAAATAGGCTGGCTGCACAGTTATCATTCTAGTAAAACATTCCCTGGCTTGTTTGTATTGCTTTATATCCATCAAATGTCTTTCTTTGTACATATTGTGGTGGTCCATTTTTGAATCCATACATTTTTAGTTGCTGCACTTGTTTTGTCGAATCCGTGAACGTTTCTAAATGCTGGCTTGAGGACACATGTTGGTGAAGATGCTTCTTGATTTCCACGTGTTTTGGCACATTTGTGTTTTTTATATTTGCATCGTTTTTGAAGCTGCAGCGTGTTTCTCCTAATGAGAATGGTATGTGCCATTTTACTGCATTTGCACCTGTTGGCCCCCCTATATTTGACTTAGGGGCAACATTTTGAGAACAAATCAAAATACTAGCGTAGCGCATATACAGAAAGTGCGACTTTATTTGCAAAATGTCCACTTTATTATCAACATTTCGACTTTATGCTCAACATTATACTCAAAATGTGAAATGTACTTGTTACATTTGATCTTTATCCTCCAAATTTAGATTTTATGCTTAAATCGCAAACATTTTTATTTTTAATTTTTTAAACCTCCCAATTACCCCCCCTTATTCCTGGCCCTACAATTATTTGGTGAGGAGATACCACCCCGAGAGTGTTTTACCTAATGGAAATCTTCTGGGCCGTTTGCACCTGTAAATCAGACTTTGGCTTGAATTTAAAATTACAATTGTACAATTCAATTAATTAGAATTTTTCGACTTTATTCCAAACATTATACTCAAAATGTCAAATTGACTTGTGACATTTTGTTTTAATCCTCAGAATGTTGATTTTATACTTAAATCCTCCTTACAGTATGTTTGCCCTCTTATGCCTGACCTTAAAACTCTTTAAGAATGATGAAAATACAACACCATGGCATCAAGAGTGGAAAATACTATGAAACCACAGCCAAGCAGAGAGAGAGAGAAAGTTAAATGATTTAAGACTATCCTATTCAATCTGCCCTCCGTCTCTCCCCCAGGACTTCACCTCTACATCCATCTCATCCCTCTTTTCTTCCCGTCTAGATTTTCCACAAACACCCTTCGCTCACACCTCTCACTGCCTCTCTGCATCCTGCATTTTTTTTTGATGGTGGTAAACCAATCTTTAGTCACCACCACTTTGTTTCCCATCTCTTAATTAATGACCTGCTTTCCATTAGAGGAAATGTGCTGAGGACACTTTAATGTCAGACTGCAGGAAGGAGGAGGATTAGCTGATTTGTGGCACATCGCAGAGCTCTAGTGTAAAGTCATGGGAGTGTGTCAGCGCGCAGTGTTTGTGTGCATTTTGTTAGTGTGTGTATTCTTAACACAACTCCTGATGCACCCTGCCAAAGATTTTAAGCGAATTTAGGCCGAGAGGGTTGGATAGAATTCAAACAGCAAGCGAAGCGGAGCAGTGAAAAAAATTAAGAAATGCGGCTTATAATCAGTGGGGAGTTTGTGAAAAGATAAAAAGTAAATGGTGACAGGGAAATTAAAGAAAAGCCCTTAAACTTTTATGTAAAAAAAGTTTGAAAAATGAATATTCAAGATAACTTTCAAAAAAGTGAATAAAATATTAGGTACCTTCTTTTCTCCGTGCTTTCTGATAAGGTTCATGGTCGGACCCAAAGGCGCTATTTCATTTCCGTATTGAAAATCTAGTTCACATTCAACATTATGTCTGGGATTATTCAAAAATTCATATCGTCTCTTCACTGGATTTCCTGAGAATTTGTATTTTTCTGAATTCTCTCTGAACACTATTCCCTCTCCCGGTCTAATATGTCACTTCCTTTTTGAGATAGCTGTCCTTTTCCCCCTCCTCCTACCTGTCTGCACTCCCTTCCTATCTGTATCTCTCCCCCAATCCCTCCCCCTTTCCCTCTGTCAGTTCCTATTCCAGTTTCTTTCCCCATGTTTCTTAATCCCCCCTCCCGTGATAATTCCTCTCCTCTTTTCGCTCCCCGGCTTCTCTCTTTGGCAGCCGCTGTCCTCTTTTCTCCTCCCCTCCCTTCTCTTCCTGCTTCCCTCTTCCTCTCTGTTTATCTCACTCTCGCTTCCTCCTCTGCCTCTATCCATCCATCCCTAAATCAGCCCCTATGGACTGCAGCAGCTTCACATGTTACAAGCGTTCTCCCGCAAACAAACGGGGATGTGCAGAGGTGTTAGCGCGGCAATTACGCACATTCTGAAAAGGTTACATGGATAAAAGGTAAACAGAGATGAATGGATACCACACAAAAGAGGGAAGAAGGGGAAAAGGGAAAGGATGGAGTTTTACAGAAAGAAGAGGGACACAACTGCGAGAAGAGAGTGTCAGTGACACATAATGAGGGAGTGAAAGGGAGAGTCAGCAGCGCTCATTTACGCACAAAAGCCATAAGTGTGTGTGTGTGTGTGACAGAGAGAGAGAGCAAAAGGGAGGGGTGGAGTGAGCGAGAGAGGGAGGAGTGAGTTGCGGAGGGAGGAGTGAGAGAGAGAATGTGTGTGTGCGAGACATTGTCATCCAGTCCTGACAGAGAACAGCAGCAGCAGCGCGAGCATCACCGGCCGGCGGGATCCAGACGCACTGAGCCCACTGAGCGAGGAATACGGAAATACACACTGATGAAGAAGCAGCAACAAAGGGAGAGGATGGAATAAAAAAAGAAAAGAAAGAGAAAAAGCATTTTATTGCTTCTCTTCCTACTTCTGTTTGGAGCATCCCACAAGCAGAGCACCAGTGAAAACACATACATATGATATATATATAAAATTCCTATACATATATATCAAATTATGCCTGTTTTCAAAGAAGCTGCAGCCGGACAAGGACTGAATTGACTGAACAAATCCAGTGCATGACAAATTGGGAGATAATATGCAGCATTTGAATTAAAACTGTTGCATATTAGATTTCTTTTTTGTACAGCTCAAAGGGGGAAAAGACAAACAAATACATTGATGCAAATGGAACATTTGGAAAAACTGAGTTGTTGAACAACAAAGATCTTCTGCTGCAGGCAGTCCTATATTTCCAAGTGGGCTTCTTTTGAAAACAGGATATTTTTTTCTGATCTGCCCTCATTGCCACACGGCCGTTTGGCTGTCGCATCTCCACTTGTCTCTCGTGCGTATGGGCTGGGGGAGCTTTATTCCGCCGAGGCTTGCACAAGTGCGACACTGAAAGTGCAGAGGGCAGTCCACGGGCTCTCTGACCCCACGCTGATATTTCCTCAGCGACGACAAAAGCCCTCACAGCTCGGGTTGAGAGAAAAAGGGTGAGGTAAGTTGCGGGGGGGGGAAATAAAGAAGTAGAAAATATCAAAAAGAGAGCATTTAGGGAGATCAAAATGTAAACACAGAGAAACTGAGCCTAAAGAAGAACAAGGGAAAAAACCCACTAACTAAGATCTGTTATGTGGGACACGCCACTCATTCCCACATATTTTACAGCTTCTTTAGGGACGTGGATGCAGCAACGCTAAGACATTAAGATCAGAGATTCAGCGTCCCAACATCAGCCCCCTTCCCCTCCCACCTCTCTCTTTCTCCTCCTCTCCCCTTAGTCTTAGCACTTGTAGGGCAGGCTGGTGTCCTGGGTCTGTCAGAGATCCACAGAGAGGAGGGGTTTCTCTGGAGCAGCAACAGCAGACGAGGACAAGAAGCCATTGGAGTCCTTGTGTGTCGCTTAAACAGCACTGTCACCAGGGGGGTTTGAGCTGCTGTGAATGTGTGTGTGAGAGAGTGTGTGTTTGTGTGCGTGAGAGACAACACGCCTCAGGTGCGAGAGCTTTTGGACCCTAAGGATTTCAGCTTGACGAGACCCCGGAGTAATGTTTTAAAGAATATTGCAGAGCTGTTGTTACCTGTTGGCTGGAAATAGGAAGGACATATACCCTACGTGATCTTTCCAAAACAAAAGATCAACTTTCAATCTCACTCCAAAAGACTGGATCTACACATCTCAAGGAGGGGGTTCACCAAAGTGGAGCAAGGTGGCAGTGGAAGAAGATGCCCACCACCAAAATAAAAAAGCTTAGTAGTAGGAGGAAGACAGATGCGACATAAGCTCTGAGAGGGAAAATTGGAGGAGACACACAACAACGCTCCACTCGTGGTCTGAGTTTTTCCAGGACATCTGAACTGATTTGACTTCAGCTTTGAGATTTGTTATCCACTCAGGAATATGAGTCTGTCTCCGGAGTGCAAATCCTTTCATGTGGGAGCCTGTGACTATCTCTGAGTTTGAGAGGAATCTTCCTTCTTTTTCTGCGAGTGCTAACAGTTTTCCACTTTTCACGGATTATTCATCCACTCAGCAGGGGGGCTTATTGCAGGATGTGCCAGAGGCAAGTTCATTCGTAGGTAACACGCCCTCTTAAACTAGATTCCCTCCAAACCAAACCGGATTAGGATTTGTCTACAACCGCCTCTGCTGTCTGCTGACGACATATGGCTTTGTGAAAGGTGACAGTTCCTGAATTTTTGAATATGTATGTGCTTCGATAAACACACTCCTACACACATAAAGTAAGCTGCCAGGGACTGTGGTGATGAGTCTGTGCATTTGAGTGTCTGCTCACAAGAGACACATTCACTCCTGTTGAGATGGGAAATTGATTTCTTGCACTCACTTGTTCCTCTGCCCCTCGACGACAATTTCCCCTTCTGTAACTGTTTGCAGTAATAACTCCCACAACGCTAAATGAATGCTCTTTCTTTTTCTTCCAGGCATGCATATATAGGTTAACCCCAATGTATTCATTAGACCTGTTATCTCAGAGATTCATTGACTAAAGGATATCTAACTTTCTATTTCTTTGTTGTTTTTTTAAACCTAGGAGCATTAGTATCATTACAAATTACACATCAGACCTACCAGAAGACACTGGCGTAGATCCAAGATGGCGCCCTCCGTGCATCCGCTCTTGATAAGCCTTTCCCTGGCCCTTATCCTGGGACTGACCTCTTTCGGGGGACTGAACTCTTGGCCCTCAGGTCAAGTTGTGGCGCAGGTTCCTACGAACAACCAGACGACAGAGCCCTCTATGATACCTGAGGCCGCGCTGGCAACGCCGACACCGGAAGCGGAGGACAAAACGTCTCTGTCGAACGGTGGCCGTTGCTGGGGTTACTACGACGTCATGGGCCAGTGGGACCCGCCCTTCAACTGTAACGTTGGTGTCTACCTGTCCTGTTGCGGCTCCTGCTTCTACCGCTTCTGCTGCCAGTTCAAAATCCACAGTTTGGACCAGACTGCCTGTTCCAACTATGACACGCCGGTCTGGGCGAACACCGGGAAGCCGTCAGAACCCGTCACCGAGGTCCGAGAGGAGCCGGACAGAGATCAGACCCACATGATCGTTTATATTATTTGTGGAGTGGTGGCCATCATGGTGTTGGTCGGGATTTTCACCAAACTCGGGCTGGAGAAGAGTCAAGGAGGACAGACCGACATGACCAACTCCAGGTATGAAGTGAGAACGGCAGATTGATGGTTGGGTGGATGATGTTGGCCAATGATGATAATGGTTTCGCTAACCACATCATCCATCTGATGTTGATATATTTAATTACATAGGATTATCTTGACTGGGAGAAATAGTCCCTGTTGCCTACTGTAGGAGTTATTCATTTGAAGAACATACTGTATGTGTACTGTAAGAAGCTTTCTGTAGTTTGTACATTTATTCTAACAAAGATAGAAAAACAATGGTTCTTAAATAAAAAGGCCACCTCCCAAGCTTTTTCCAGCAATAACTATCTAATGAAGCTTAGCCAAACTTGGGAGGCTAGCAACCTGCAGACAAATTTTGTGTCAACTTTCGTGTAGGGCACATTTGTAATCTGTTATTACAGGCTAACTTACATAGACCCTCCATTAAAGTACGACAACAAATAAGTGGGAGCCCCACATTTTCAAAGTGTTCCTGGGATTTGTTACCATTATGTACTTGGTAAATTACAATTGCAGTCCTTTGTACTGCTCATTACTGGAAACAGTAATTGCACTAATGATATTTGTTACTGAATAATGCATTACTGCCCAACCAATACAGAAAAACAAAACAAATCTGCTCTGCTTCTCCGCTGCAGCACACAGTGTTTATGCATGCACACATGTACCTGTGTGAAAGCCTGCCTGTGGTGTCGGCCTGCGTGTTTCTGCTGATGTGTGAGAAGGTCACCGGCTGGGCGGTGAGTCAAGCGCCTGAATTACAGCGAGGCGATAATTTGTGAGACTTTTGCATGCAACCACGAGGGAGCAATGGACATAGTGATGGAGGAGAGGGAGGGAACCTGATGGAGGTCAGGCGGTGGGACGGAGATCCCGAAGGACAGATGTCGGGTGATAGTAATGGAGGAGTTTGGGGGGGATTACAGTGCGGTTGTGTTGTGTTGTCTCCCACATTGATAGGTGATTGATTGCTGTGACACAACTATGACAAAGCGAGGCCTCCAGTGAACAACGAGAAGAGAGGCGTTTTTTTTTGGGAGGGTGGAATATTGAGCTGATCCGACTGGAATGCAGCCAACGGCTAATTCTAGTACCCAGAATAGGGGTGTGTATTTTTGTTTGTGTGAGGGAGGGGGGGAAAGGGGGATGGTGTGTGTGTGTTTGTGTGTCAGGCCACGGGGGTTACTTTAAAAATCCTTTCATTACCTGATCTCCTCCACCTCCCAGGGGGGTATGAGAGGTGGAGGATGATGGCGGTGGACATCAGGACTTGTTAGTGTTACACTGCAATGAGCCAACCATAACACAATGAAAGCTGGCACCTCTTCGCACTTGTTCTCCCCTGAATCAAACAATTATGCATGAGGCTTTATACTTGAATCAAGGACTTGTTTGGGAGATATTTTCTGAAATGTGGTCTGTCTGTCCTCACCACCTCCAGGTCAGAGTGTCAAAAGATATTCTGCATATGTCTTGAAGTTTCTCCGAAGTGACATCTGTTTCCTCCGATCAGCAGGACAGATGTTGGCAGGCTGAAGTGTCCCGGAGCAAGACACTGAAACTCTGCTGTCTTGACCGTTCACTTTGACCTTCCTGGTAGAATGTAGTTACTTCTTTCCCCCAATGGAAGTAAATAAGATCCTTTTAAATCAAGTAAATGAGCAAGTGTATGCCAAACTAGAAGGGCACTCGGGCTCCACCAAGGTCGTTTCCATAATATAAAATAATGCCTGTACTGTATGTGCTTTGTTATTTGGATCCGATCCAGAATTTGAATGAGTTTTTCCTCGCCCCATGCTCAAGTACATCCTTCCATCAAGTTCCTGGAAAAGTGGTCTACTAGTCTTTTTTTCGTAACGCTTTTAAAAACAGACCTACAAACAAAACTGAAAACATGACCTTGGTAATGAATGCATGCAAATAAATTGTAGAGAGTTATTTGAGCAATCATGTGGAGGACAATTTAAATTTAGCAATCAAAGAAAAACACAAGTCCTTATTTTTATTTCTGTTTGTAAATTAGAAAAGACCTGCCCCAGTGCTTTGATTGAATTCACTGGAAACAATGCTGCTCCAAAAACAAGTTAAAGAATAATGAAAACAAGTTGTTTTCACTTGAAATAAGTACAAAAATCTGCCAATAGAACAAGTGAAAATTTGCTTGGTAAAATGTCTTGAAATAAGAAGGAATATTTAGATAAATCAGATCTTGTAATTAGCTAGGAGAACTTATTTTGAACTGTATTTGACCAGAATCAGGAAATGCTGTGTTACAATATAGGCCGCAAATACTCAAAAGTATTCTGTTTTCTGATGTTAGTTGGTGATTTTCCAATAAATATGTAAAAAACCAAAAATGTAATCTGAGATACAACTCAAAATAGGATTATTTGATTTAACAAGATGATGCATTGTCTAAAAACAAAAGCCTATATCTCACTGCATTGTTACTTCTGAAGTTAATATGTCTTATAGCAATTGTAAAGACATATTCTGACTAGATATTAGACAAATATACTGGGCAAGATTTCGAATTCTTGTAGTGTTTTTTGATAGAATTGTGACAGTAAAGAGGTCACAACTCTACTCGAAAAACAACTTCTTTGTCAGAGGGTTGTCAAAAAGGAATTGGTATTGTCTTTCACGGCCAATCACATTCCCAATCTGGCTGAAGGGCAGGGGGGAGCCCAGTAATGGACAATGGTAACACCAACATTGCCCTATAAACTAATGAATTGCATCTACTTCAAGCAATGCCAACATCTTAACAGGTTTTGTATTAGTACACAATTTACACATTTCCCTCCATCCAAACCATTAGGCAATGGTAATGGAAATAACATCCATTGAATCGGCTGATAGCAATCGGAACGTTGTCTGTGCGTTTAGAAAAAAACAGTTCAGTCAGACAACTCACGTGTTTCTTAATATGTTTATTATAAGCAGCATATAGTTTGGCGTCTAGGCTCGGGCCTCATCACTCCACAGATTTACAAAGAACATTGAGTGATGATTATATAACTATCCCCCGAGCCTACAGGTGGAAGCTGGGGTGGAAGCTGGGGTGGAAGCTGGGGTGGAAGCTGGGGTGGAAGCTGGGGTGGAAGCTGGGGTGGGAGCTGGGGTGGGAGCTGGGGTGGGAGCTGGGGTGGGAGCTGGGGTGGGAGCTGGGGTGGGAGCTGGGGAGGAAGCTGGGGTGGAAGCTGGGGTGGTGGTGGGGCAGGCGAGCAGCAGCAACATGAAACACAGCAGCAGGAACATGAACGTAGCAATAGCAAGTGAACACAGCAGTGGCAGCAGCAGCATAGCGAGGCAGAGGCAGGAAGACCTGGCAGCTTAAATAGAGCGGCATGTTTAGGAGAATGTGTTTGGTTGGTTGTAAGAGGGACGAGGTGCGTCACATTACATTAATGATTGGTGCTCGAGTTGACTGCCTGAACTAGCTCGCAGGCTTCGCCCCATTTATCGGATCAAGTGAACTTAAGTGAGAATGGTTTTTTTTAGTGGCTGATAAATGGATGGAAACTATCTTAAGAGAGGGGAAAAACTGTCCTTTATTTAGTCTATGCTCCTCAGGTCATATTTCTGTCATTTATTCCTATCATAATTGTCTTTTCAAAAAAATCTAAATTGTCTTAGTACTGTCTTCCGGTGTTTGGGGCTAAACACACATCTTGGAGGCAGCACTTTGCACACACTCTGTGATAGGCACACAAAGAAGCAGTTGACAATGTGCCATATTAAAAAACAAAACAATGTACCCGTATCTCAAGCTTTATGACAAACAGAAAAGGAGATAGTGAGAAAAACAATGCAAAAAAGATTAGAAATTCAGTGAGGTCTTTATGTTTTCCAGAGTAATATAACCTCCAAATTGCTAAATGAATTGCCTAAACTATAAATGACCAAGTAACTGAATTGAGTTTGAAACCACAATTATAAAAATGTCTTGGATATAGCCTGATTTTGCCTGAGAGAGACAAAAACACAGCCAGTTTCTCCGTAGCCTGGAGGAGCCCTGGTGAAATTGTTTATCGTATTCTAAAATTCATTCTCAACCTGCATACATTTGACTGCACTTTCACTGTGTGCGGGAAAGTGCAATGGGTGTGTGTGTGTGTGTGTGTGTGTGTGTGTGTGTGTGTGTGTGTGTGTGTGTGTGTGTCAGTGCTTCCACGTGTGTGTGTGTGGGTGTGTCTGTGTGTGCACTGAAGGAATAAATTCAGCCACAAAGCTGTTAAGGTGGTAATGCGCTGAAACCCCGGGTCAGGCAATCACAACAGCCAGCAGTGCAATGATGTATAGCACAGAACACACACACACACACACACACACACACACACACACACACACACACACACACACACACACACACACACACACACACACACACACACACACACACACACACACACACACACACACACACACACACACACACACACACACACCTCTCATTATGACTACGCTGCCCCCCCCCCCCATTGTGTCCCATCAGTAGCCCTGCTTCTCACCTCCCAAGTGACTGTTTTTGTTTTGCTCTCAGTCTGTCGGCTGCTGCGTCTGTTGTGGGGAAACTGCTGCAAAGCAAAATAGAAAAATGATTCATATCCTTTGATTCTGCTCCGGGATTTAATATGCCATATTAATTGTATTTATTTTTTAAAGTAACGACAGCTCAGCTCATCACATTTTAGCGTTAGTAGGGATGCAGAGGGAGGAAAATGGTAGTCGACAAACACCATGGCCTTTCAATGACTAGTAAACATGTTAATATAGAGTCGTCCATGAATGACTCCTGAACCTGGATATGAGTCAGCTTTTTCCCTTGTGGTTAAAACAAGGTTTTATATGTTGTTCTACGACAATATACGTCAGTAAATGGTGAATCCATCACAAAGCTTTCATGTCAACAAGTGGCAAAAAGCTCTGACCAGCGGACCATGAACGCTGTTTAAATGGCCGCTGTAAGACTTTGGTGTTGGCCAACACATATTGGCACACTTTTATCA